TGCAAGGTACGTACCAAAAACAATTCGATGACGAAGTTTCGACCTGATATTCTATCCATGTATAGCTCTCAAGGTCTTTAGAATATTCTAAAAGTTTCAGCGCAAAGGGATGTTGTCTTCCAGAGATAATGAAAATACAAGAAAACTTGGTTTTTCTGATCACTCTGTGAAATAAGAGTGGTTTTTGTAGATTCATTATCTCTGGAAAGGAACATTCTTTGTCGTTGAAACTTTTAGAATATTCTAAAGACCTTGAGAGCTATACATGGATAGAATATCAGGTCGAAACTTCGTCATCGAATTGTTTTTGGTACGTACCTTGCATGAGGCGAAACTCAGTAATACGACTATAGTTCTGCAAGGAAGGCCCATGGGCCCGCATCCTTTTGGATGCTTCCTAGTCTCATCCGGATCTACTTATTGGCAAAACATCAGGTCAAAAGAGGTGAATCACTTCGGGCGGTTCCCTCGTAAGTCGTGTTTTTATTCGAATTCTTCTGAAAGATTTTCAATAAATTATGAGTCTTACATTAATAAATAATGATGAAAAAAGATGAAAAGCTCTAATTAGCTGTTAGTATTAATATGTTTCATTTCTCATTATTTATTTTTCTTTTTGTTTAGGCTAAATAATGAATATCATTTAATTATTACAAATATTAAATAAATGTTATCTTGTTTCATTTTATTTTTATCTGTGTTTATCAGATACTAAAATAATCAATCCTACTCTTTACTTTAGTTTTAATGATAAAATACGAAAGAAAAGAGAAAGAATCTCTTTTTTTTTCAAACTTCATAGACCTAGTTAATAGTTCATCTAAAATAAAATTCAAACGTTAAAATGTTGTCATTCATCTTAATAACGTGATATTTAATTCTTCTTTGTCTTTCTTTCTACACAGATGACATGCACTTTTATATTTGCAAATTTATTTTTCTTTGATTTTTCCAGGTAAACATTGTGCACGTTACAATATGAGAATGAAAATTCTTTTACAATGCAGATGCCGTCTTTTTTTCTTTACGCATTTGATTTGCATCATCGTTTCTATAGAATCATAAGTCTCATAAAAACAAAACAGAAAGCAAAAAATTGCATGTATCATTTACATATAAAGGTAAGAAAGGAAAATGAAAGAAGTAAAATGGAGGTACTGTAAACAAGAAGCTTTTAGAAAAAACTGCAGACTCAAACTTTTGTTAAGCAAACTTTGCAGTCTTATATCAGGACTGAATCCCATTGAGACCTCTTTGTTTAAACTCCTAAAGAATGTATTTATATTTCGAATTCGAATCTCATTTATTTCTTGAGGTCATAGAATAAACAAACATACTTTTCTTCATTTTTTTCCAAGAAAGAAAATTCTCTTCTTTCTTTCCCTATAATAAAGTTGCATATATATAAACCGTCTATATTTTGTCAAGTAAATGTTTACTATTCAATCAAACCTAATCTATTATTATTGAAATAAGATATATAAAAGGTAAAATCAATGTACCATTAATCACCTATTTTAAATTAATGTCTGAACTGAAAACAAAATTGCCTTTTTTTGTTTTTAAAATTTAGAGCAGAAATCAACTCAGTTCAAGTTCTTCAAAACTTAAGCCGCACTGAAAAAAAGGAATTTAATTTTCATGTAAATAACTGAGACTATTCTATTTTTCCTATTTAAATATCGAATTATAATTTGAGTAAACATAATTAATTAAAAAAAGATGTATGTTTTTGACAATGCTCATTTGGAAAACAATAAAAGTTGAAGCGTTTAAATGATTTCTGCATCTTGCTAGTCTTAAAAATCTTTATATTTCATCTGAGCTGTCCTAATTTTATGAAACATCTGTATTTATATTATGAGTACTTAATAAAGAGAAATCTAATAGCAGACTTCAATGGAATATATTATATGGTAAATTCTTCATGAAAACTTATCATCTAATACAAATTTTGATATATAATCATTACAATTTTTCATTTAGGTTTACCCGACATTTGAGTTACATCCGTTGATTTGATATTAGAATTGATCTTCGTACTATCTTCATGCAAAATCCAATTCATAGAAAACCGAATTCGCAACCAAATAATCATTTTGACAAGTTACTGAGTGATGATTTTATACGTCGTTCACCAGTCGAACGATCTGCTGGTCTTGGCTCTTTCTATGACGCTAGAACAGATTCTATTGTTGGTAACATATCATTGCCAAACAATTTCATCACTAAACTTACAACATACAATCCTGTGTATTGTAAAGTGCTCAAAGATAATCTGATTGAAGGTGAAAATCTACTTGATGAAATTGGTATCGACGATGATCTATGGTTAAGTTTAGTATTAAATATGGTTTCTGCAGATGGAATACCTTCATTAGTCAATTCATCATTTAACATAAATACAAAAACTCGAATACTTCATTATTGTTTTGTGAGTGATGAAAAATGTATTACTGATCAAGTGTATAAAGTTAAAGACAATATATTAGCAGCAACAGTTGATAAAGAAATAACTCACATGGTGGCTGCAATTAGATTAGGAATTCACCTTGTCATTATATTACAATTATCTACAGATTATAAATATGAAATCGATGATCTATTAGAAAAAATAAGTCAAAGTTTAACAAAAAATATTTTCAAAATAACAAAAAACGAAAAACAGTTGTTCAATAGACTGATAATTACAAAAGTATTTTCCAATATAAAAGATCTAAGTGAAATATCAACATTATTTGAACTATTTAAAAAAGTGGTTGAAATAAAATTATTAACACATGTTCATTGTCCATTGCAATGTTTTCTTCGTCCAATTCAATCGTTTTGTCCGTCTTATGTGAAATATAAAGTAAAATATG